AAATTCTGGGGACTGAGGGGGAATCTGAGTTTGTGCTCCACACCGCTTGAAGTTCCCCTAGACCCAGGTCTCCTTGTCAGGAAGGCACCTCAGAGGAGGTTGTGGAGGCAAGTGGCTCAGCTGAGTCAGCTCCTCCTGTTGTTCTGCCTGTGCCTGCTGAGGATGGGGATAAGGCAGGATCCCTACCCTCAACCCAGAAGCGGGGGAGTAGTGTAGTTTGGGATCATTTTGAGGTGGCAGATGATCCTAAGTATGCTATCTGCCAGCACTGCCAAAAGCAGATCAGCTGGGGCAAGGAGGTGAAACACTTCACCACCACAGCGATGCTGCTGTATCTGTGGAGGCAGCACCCCCTTGCCCTTCTTGTCCTGCAAGAGCCCCACATTTCCTGGGGCCTTCTTTCTACTCCCTATGTATTTAAAAAAGGACTTCTTGTTGTCCTTAATCTGGGAAGCCAGCCCCTGTTCCATCTCTGCCTTGGCCTTCCAAGTCAGGGAGGCAGAAGGGCAGAGGCGAGGGGATGTGGAAGAGGGGGATCCAGTTTCCTGTGCCAGCACTCCCAGCACCAGCACCAGTCATTCTCCATGCCAGCTGCTGCCGATGTGGGCCAAGGGCATGGCTTCAGTGTTGGGGTCCAGATGCATCAGACCCCAGCCTCAGGCAGGTAATACCGAAGCTTCGGTGGCTACCTATCTCACCGAAGACATGGAGCTGCTGGACCCTTTGGCCTACTGGGCAAGCCGCAGCCAGATGTGGCAGGACCTGGCCACAGTTGCTTGGGAACACCTGTCCTGTCCACCAACCAGTGTGCCAAGTGAGAGGGTGTTCAGCAGTGCTGGGGATGTTGTGATACCCCACCGTACCTGCTTGAATCCTGGTTTGGTGGAGCAGCTGGTGTTCCTCAAGGTGAACCTCCTGCTACTGGGGTTCCCCAAGGTCCACCTGCAGAGGGAGTGAGTGCTACCCTTCTCATTCCGTCTGCACCTATTTCCATTTTATATTTTTAAACCAGTTAATGCCCCGCTCAGAGCTGGAGGGGGACTCACTGCATCACCAGCCAGCAAGGGAAGAACATGTCTCTGCTGAGCTTCTGTGCCAGGATGAACTTGGAGGTATGGGCTGGGGCTATGGGGAAGAAGGTGGCCCCAGGTCCCGGGCATAACCACTAAAACTGTACTCTGCCAGGGTCGGGGAGGCCTGGTGGGACTGTTGGTGCTGTGGCAGCCCCAGGAAATGCCAGGACTGAGGACCCCCCTTGGTGAAAGTCAGGCAGGAGGTGCCATAACCTCCAGCTACCACACATGCACACAGTCCTGGCTGGGGAAAGCCCAGACCTGTCACATCCTTAACAGGCCTCAGGCTTGCTGGTTGCAGTGGAGTTGTAAGGCTCCAAGTGAGCTCAGCTTAGCTGTCTGGGATGCCAGCTTTTGGGTTGAAAATCCCTTCATCAGGCTGAGGAAGCATCTGCAGGTGGTGGGTGTATGTGCTGTGGACTCAATACAGACATTGGATTTATGACACACTACAACCTGCCGGACATCTGACTCCCCACGTACCTCTCCACTTCTGCCTGCGCTGCTACATCCCCCTTCCCCCGCCCCCCATGCTCCTCACCCTGATGCCTCCATTTCCATTTTCACTGACTGGCTTTCTTGCCTGCATTGCATGCCAGGCTCTGGCTTCTTAACTATTCCTTCCATCCAGGAACAGCACACACAGGCCAACTGCAGGTGGTTTCTCAGCCTGACAAAGGGTTTTTCAACCTGAAAGCTTGCTAAGATATTTCTCTAACCATTCAGTTGGTCAAGATTGACCCAAAGGACCTTGTCTGCCTGTGTCATGTCCTTAGATCAGCACCCCTAGCACCTGTCCCTGGTCAGCTGACCGGACGGAGGCAGGGCCCTGGGCATATCTAAGCCCCAGGGCCGGGGCTGGCAGGGACAGTTCTCTGGCAGTGGCTGGAGAAGAAGCTCCTGCAGGAGGGGAAAGAAAGGCTCCGTCACAGTTTGGCTCCTGATGCTGCTGGTGCTACTGTGCTAGTGCTCACTAAGTTATTTTATTACCTGTTATCATTTAAAGTGGTGGACTGGGCTGAAACTGTAGGGGAGGAGACCTCATTGGGGCACACTACCGTGTCGTGGAAAGGCCACAGTGCCAGTGAGGGCATGCCTTAACACACACACACTGTCACCCATGTCACAAGTTTTGCTTGTCAGCGGCCTGAGGTGCAGTTTCCCAGAAACCCCTGCACCTATTTCCTTGAAAACTGGCAGGCTCCATGGCCTCAGCAGGGCCTAGCATGCCTGTAGTTTTTCACCCCACTGTGCCTTAACACACATACATGACAAGTTTTGCTTGTCAGCAGCTTGAGGTACAGTTTCCCAGAACCCCTGCACCTATCTCCCTGAAACTTGTCAGTCTTCATGCCCTCAGAAGGGGCTACCATTCCTGCAATTTTTATCTGAATCAGCCAAATAATGACAACATTATAGGTATTTCAGTGATTCTTCACTATAGTCGATGGCCGAATCTCTGAATCAATTCAGGACAAATCTTTGAATCGATTCGGCGCCGAATCGATTCAGGACAGTGATCCAAATTGAATCACTGTCCTCTAAATCGGCCGAATCCAAATCTTAATCGAATACTTCCCTATTTGCATAGGCCTACAAGATAACCCCTTTTTTCCTGGGACAATCTTGGTTAATTTGGTTTAATAGCTTTTCCCTGTAATGAATAGCAATGTGTGAAAAGAGCTTTGATGCTCTTAGGTTTTGACTCTGAGTTGCCTCAAATGCAATGTCTGTTTTTTAACCTGATATGCTTCCAAAGCATTAAATATTAGGAACAAATATCCAAGCTCAAGAATTCAACTTCTATCAAGGAAACCAACCAGATATCTCTAAATTTCTAGCAAAGTGAGAGAGAGAATAAACCTTTCTACCAACTATACTGATAACTTAGAAATTCCCTTTTCTGTTTCAGTTTTTAATTTAAAAAAGCAGACCAAGGAACAGACCCTAGAATGACTTATACATAACGTTGTAACGTTTTTAACAGAGATATCTTACAATTTGAGAGCTGATCTGCTAATCTGTTTTATGTAAGAAGAAAAACAAAAGTCCATGGAAAACAGACTTGATTACAGTCACTTGAGAATCATTTCACTATCCTACAGATGAAATCTCCAAATCAAAAGGATCCAAATTTCCATTGGTTTAAAGCAGGAATGTCAGGCTCACTCTGTGTTTTGAGCTGTGGGGCTCCTAGAGGCTGGATGCTGCATGGGACGGCAGGCACACTGGCGTGAGGCAAGTGGCTACCCAGCCTGTGGCAGCTTGCCATGGTGGAGGTGATTAAGTGGTGGTGAGCCAACCACCCTCTGCTGCTGATGGCCATGTTCATCAGGGCCCTAGATTCTGCGACAGGCCATGCCTATTTCTAATCATGCCCCCAAATTTCCTGGCCTACTGGTAGCCCAGCAGGTTGAATCCAGCCTGTGGGCTGTATGTTTGACAACCCTAGTTTGCAGATCATAACACTGTCGTTCTTTATTTAAAAAAACCCCCAACCAACAGTGCAGAAGGTGTGTTAAAATGGGACATGCTGCTAGAACTTGTTGTTCCGTGCTATCGTACTATAGAAAACAGACAGAAGTACCCGTGCCTGAAAACCTGAATCCACTGTTCCAGAATATTGAAACCTGTTTCAGAAATAAAACCTTCTTGTCAAGTTCCAAATTTACTGGATCTGTATAATATGGAATTTGCAAGACTCAGGCCACAAACCGGCAGTACATTTGTGCTGGAAGAAAAGCCTCTCTCTTGGCACAAAAGGAGGGAGTACAGATGTTCAAGGGATTTCTTGTAGAAGAAAATTGGGTTTGTGGAATACCTCCCTTCTCCCAATCTAACTTGAATGGCTTTACACTTCTCTCAGGCATTGAAGACACCCACTGTCCCACAGTTCTCTCTCCAAGAGGGAGAGGCAAGCACTAACTCCCTGACAACTTGCACCTGGGCAGGCTATTAGGGAGCCCTGTGGGGACCCTGCTGGACGTCCTGTCAGTCAGCTGAGTGGTGGGATGGGGCAGGGGGCCATTCACCAGCAGCAGGAACTTTCCTGGAGCCCTGGAAAGGTTCCAGCCCCGGGACAATACTTTGTGCCCCCATCCTGCTAATCAGCTAGCTGGGTTTAACTTGGAGGAGTGCAGGTGAAAAGCAGGTTCTCTAGGGACTGGAGCCTACCCAGAGCTCCAGGAGGCTTTCAGATCCAAGAGAATGCATGCAAGTCTTACAGCAAACAGATAAAGGAAGCTTAGAAATGTTAAAGGTGCAGTAAACAGTTCTCATTTCAGACTTGGAAGAATGTCTTGCTTTCAAAAGCTTGTCTAACTTTATCCCAGCTATGCAGGTGGTCCAATAAAAGGTATCACCCTAAGAAATCCTTGCCTCTTGCATACTTCCTGGACTATAACAATTACATCACTCTAGCACTACTTAAAAAATAAAAGCATTTATAAGCATAAATGAATTAAGGTCCATTCACTACTGGAGTTGTTTTTTGTTCCCTGTAACATGCAATTACTAGTTTTTACTTTGCAATTCTGCCATTCTAAAAATATAAAAAGTAAATCTTGATTAGCTAAAAAATACTGGTGAAAGCAGGGAAAACAGATTTACATCAGATTTATTCTTTATGTCAGAGTCACTACTGTCTCTCCTTCGTACAGTTGTAATTTAGCAGCTGAAACTGAGGTAAAACTAGCCCCAAATGGTCAGACAGAATGTTTCGTAAATATTTTTTATCTTGTTACCGTGTCTAGTTATGTATAATTTTCTGGTTGTGACAGATGGATTAAGTCCTTGCCAATAAATTCCATTTCATTTACTTGAACAAGAACACAATGCATAATTTGCAACTATTTCAGACATTATTGTAGTATTTTAATCATGCTGTAAATGTTGCTATTAAATTTGGATTATTTTTGCATATTTCAGTGTTCAAAAGCATCCTGAAACAAAGGAAATAAGTGTCACATCTGTGGTCTTCAAAGTTGCTGCCTACGTAAGTATTACCTTTCTTGGTGTAGCACTTATCCATGAGAAGTGCAAAGGTATCCAACTTAGACTTGCTGAATATTAGGGTTGGAAGGGACCTCAGGAGGTCATCTAGTCCAACCCAATGCTCAAAGCAGGACCAGCCCCAACTAGATCATCCTGGACTAGGCTTTGTCTAGCTAGGTCTTAAACATTCTCTGTGTAATTGTAGATGGTGAAGATAATGAATTGACTAGAAATTTATTCATATCTTATTATTACCATCAATATAATAATATTTAGTTTAGTTAGTACTTGGGTGCAATTTTTTAAAGACCCTTTTCCTTGTCATCTTGGTATCACTTTTCAATAACATTTCACCAATGAATGCCACTTCAGTTTTCATTTTTTAAGTTAGTAAAACATGTGGGCTCCTGAGACAGTTTGATGAAAAACAACATATTTCAGCCCAGTTATTTCCAGCCTAGAATTCAGCATTCTAGGTAATTTTTGTTTTTTTCTATCTAAACTCAGATAGAAGATAAGCATTAAGGGCAAAATCCAGATTGGCAAACTAGATTCAAAAAGCACCCAATTACAGTGACACTATACATTCTCTCGGAGTGTGTGTGTGTGAGAAAGTGAGAGCGTGTACATCCATGTGCACATGCATGTATAAGTAAGATTTAAAAAAGTTATGCATCCTGGATCGTCTTTACAGAGAGATGCTTATATACATTTAGGAGGGAATTCAAAGCAGCAGGGATGTGTAGGGCAGTTGACAGGAAATGCAGAAGAGGGATGCTTTTTCTGAATCCTTTTCCTCTCCTGGAAGTTAGTGTTGTTTATGCTACTTGTTGCAGCCCGTTTTTGTCATTTCCGTTAATATGGGATTTACAATCTGTAACCCCTACCAAGGCCTAATTGCTTATAACCATAGCCTTACTGAATCACAGTTGAGGGGAGAAGGAAAAGGACTCCCTCATCTCTTGTCCAGTAACCTAGTGATTAGGCCACGTTCCTGGAAAATGGAAGATGTGCTATTGGCCTTCTGTAAAAGAGGTCTGAACCCAGGAAAGCATGAAGGCTGTGCGCCCCTGGAGACTGGGAAGGCATGGCGATCACCTGCAGACGGTGGTGGTGAGTGGGAAGCTCCTGCAGGTGGCTGCGGCAGTGTTGGCAGCAGGGGGTGGGAAGTGGCGAGCACTGACTGGTGGTTGGCAACCACCTGCAGACACTACTGGCAGCATTGATCAGGGACTCCCCGCAGACACCAGTGGTGGTGTCAGCAGAAGGGGTGGGGTAGTGGGTGGCAGCACTGGCAGTACTTTTTGCAGGGGGTTCACGTGCACCCCCTACACATCACCAGCGCAGGAAAGTTTTATAAGCAGTGCATTGTGGGCTGAATTAGGGTTGGGGCACTCTCCACCTCTCCTGTTCGAAGCTGTCCCATTGGGTAGCCAAGTATGCAAGATTTGTGTGCTCCAGAAGGCAATCAAGAGGGGGCCTTGCTGTTTACTGCTGTGAAGTGGATGCTGTTTTCTGAAGAGAGAGAACCCTAGGTCCTACCCCCTTGGACTACTTATTTAATTCACTAGCTACTGGATAAAAATGCATAGACAGCACTGGGACTTGTTAGATTTACCATGCATTCATAATAGCTACGTTTTCAAATAACATAGGTCCATTCTTACCTAAGAGCTAAAATGCATTGATCTATACTGAAATTGATTGACCTTCACTACTAGGCACCTGGCTTCAGAAGAGAACTTAGTTCTTTGGACCCTGTGTACAAGTCATGTGCAGTCCTGAGTCAGGTGCCTAAATTCAACAGAGGACCAGGAATTCAGATGCTCCCTTGTGTTTAGTGCTTCCTAGTGGCTACCTATGGGCATTTCCACGGTTGATATCTGGATTTTCTGAACCCTCCTTCTGAGGCACATAAATTCCATTTACTGCACAGGAAATGTAGGCACCTAGCTCTGTTCTTTCCATCAGCATCCTGGGGTCAAAGGCCTAGTTTTTAGTTATGTTGGACCTGAAGATGGATGTGCCTAAGGGCATTAAGAATCTTATTTTGAACTTGTACCTAACCCAGACTTGGATCTGTCATTACAGCATTTGCTGGGTAGATTCATGCTTCTCTAAAATTGGTGGGACAGTTTAGAACACAATGAAGAGGCTTGAAGGGTGAAATTGGTTCCCAAATAAGAGATCTACTCTGCCTGCTTCTGAAGCTTCTTCTTTCCCTAAAACTCCTCTTACTTACCATAAAGTTGAACTTAGAAAGCAGATGTGCACATAATGAGTTCCCTATTGCATATCTGTCAGTTTAATTGTTCTAGTAGGTTGAGTGGCTCCAAACCCATCATTATGCACTAAAGTATGCAACCTAAATGAAAGACAATATACATGCTTCCAAAAGAAATGGCTGGTGTTACTGCAGACTTCCCTATGAGATGCCAGTGCTTCCGTTGTTAGTTAATGAGTCATCACTTTTTAACTACTATGTAGCATCCATGGAAGGCTTTGAAAAGATTTTTTGAAAATAACCCAATATATATGTCATAATTTACTGTTCTCCTTCCTATTAAACTAAAAGTTTTCTAATTAAAAAATAGATTCCTGGAATCAAAAATACCTTCCTAATATTTTTATTTTATCACAATAAAATTGTTTTCATAGCTATGTATCAACAATACAGATTTATATTTATGTTTATTCAGATTTAGGTAAAACATTTAAGGCCTTTCTAGGTTCCTTTGCCATACATTAAAAATATCAGCAATATAGCAAGCAAGATTGAGCAATTTATACATTCTGGAAAACAAATACATAGCGGGGAAATCCACCCCACTCTTGTTTGTAGGGGGGGAATGGCATTGCAGCATGTTGTAAAATTTGGCAAATATGGGTTATTTTAGATGAAGGGAGAGGATGTAGTCCAAAATTCTGGGCTCTGTAAGGAGAACAGGCTGCAACTTCCTCTTACAAACCTGAGACTCCAGCTTCAGGATTTCCAGTCCCTACATATATATGAGGTCATTTCCTGGAGTGGGGCACAGCTTGTTTGAATAAGCAAGTCTCAAATGAGTTAAATTTACAGTCAAATCTTCTTAAACTCTATTGAAAAAATATGAAACAGCTAATGCAGATGCTAGAGCATAACTGTCTTTGTGCTTTTGATGAGAAACTCCACTAATCAAAGGGGCAACTAGCTGCACTGGTTTCAGTTTCTGAGTTGACTTTAAGGTGTAGCCCTGTGCACAGTGCTTTACTGAATCTAATCTAAGGTGAAAAAGGCACAGATCATATTTGTAACGTTTACTTCTGAAAGAAAGAGTCACATCTACTTAGCCTGACAGAGATAAAAGAAACTCATCCTGGTCACTGGTGCCATCTGATAGTCTAACAGCAGCTGAGAATCTAACAGAACCCCCATTCTTCAAATTGGAATAACAAATGGTGAATACATGTCCTTAGCAAAAGGAGATAAAATCCTCCTCATATCTTTTGGCTGCATTTTCATTACCAATGTAACTTCCTATTTACCTGGACCCTGACTCAGCAATTAGTCCTCTTCTATATATCAGTCTCTACAACACACTAACTAGTTTAGATGTTAAAAAAAGAGCTGGAGTTTTGTCTTAGTAACATGCCGAGCAATCTCATACCTACCTAGCTATCTGTTCCATATGCTTGTTGGATTTATAAGCATTATCTTGACAACATGTTGATGTGAAAGTTGGTGATTAAAACACATAATTTTAGGAAGTGCTGCTATAAATTAGTACTACATCTGCTTTAAAACTGCTTTTTAATGTAATAATCTGACCTTGAGCAAAATATTCAAAACAACTGGATTTCAACCTGTGGTCCACGGACCCCTGGGGGTCTGCAGACTATGTCTAAGGGGTCCATGAAAGATGATTATGTTCAATCAAAAAGATGTGAATACCCACACTTACAATTCAAAGGGGTCTGCACCTCCATTCATAATATGTTAGGGGTCCACAAATGAAAAAAGGTTGAAAACCAGTGATCTACATATCATTGTACATATCATTGTATACAGCTTCACAGTCCAGGGTGCGCAGAGGAGGAAAAGGGGAAAAGCAAGTATCTGAAATCTTGTGACAGTGTATATTTCTGAACTCTAAATGGTTTAAAATGTTCAGTGTTTGTATATAAGTAAACTTTACCATGAAGAAATCTGAAACAATTGTGATATTAAATAATAACAAAGGAGTTTCTTAAATGCCAAATCAGCCCAGCAGTGCTGTTGGCATCACTATAATAATACACATATTCCCTAGCTCTTTTAGAAGACTATTGATAAAGTGTTACATGTTTTCTTGAAGAGATGTTCGACAGTATAATTGTTTCCACAGTATCTCTCTCATACGCTGTCTAAAATCATCAGCAGATTATCTGTGTTTCTCTAAAGCCAGCAGCTTTGGATCTAGTTCTGGCAACACTAAATCAAGTACACGTTGCAGATACACCACCTGTTTGAACTTAAAACTGCAGATTCTTAATTTCTGTGTAAGACACCCTAATACTAGAGTGATAAGGCACTGAAATATGTAGATCAAACTGGTTTTAAACTAGTTTAATTAAAAAGAAAGAAATTTGGTTTAGCTAAAATGAACTGAAAAGCTCCCAGGAGCAGATCCAGAGGGGCCCAGTTGCACTTCGTTTTCCAACCACACAGTGGGAGCAGCAGCCAGGGATTCTTTTTTAAAATCCTCAAATTGGGTAGTAATTGCTCTCCTGCCCTCCACTTCATGCTCAGTGAGGTGTCACCTCCTCCCCCCCCACCTCTGCCTGCTTACCACTGGTGCTATCCCCAGGTGCCCCAAGGGCAGGGGGAAATTCCAGAGCCTCTGCTACCCCACTTCAGCCAGGCTGCCCAGGGAATTGGGCTCAGTTCAGGACAGCGGTGGCACCAGGTGGGTTCCTCTTCTCTGCCTAGGACTCCGTGTACTCTGCCAGCTTGGGAGCAGGCTTATGGAGGCAGACCCTACCTGTCATCACTGCTGCTGCTATCCCTGGCTGAGCCCAACTGCCTGCAGAGCCCAGCTGCAGCAGGGCAGGGGAAGCTCTGGAGCTCCTTCCTTCCTTGGGACAGCTGGAGATAGTGGGGACAGTGGCAGCAGTGGGCAGGGGAGAGGAAATGCCACTGAGCATGGAGGGAAGATTTTTACCTGATTTTGGCACTTAAAAATACATTCCTGGCAGCTCTACTATGGCATGGTCTGCCTGTCCTGCAGGAGTAGGGGAGAAGGTGGGAACTGGGGTACAGCTAGTAGTTGCTGCTCCTGTACCCTCCCCCGACTTTACAAAATCCAGGATCTGCCCCATGGAAACTCCTCACTTCATATGCAAGGGCACCAGTGGACTGGACAAAATGGAGATGGAACTATAATCCAAGTTCCTCTTCCCAGGTAAGTGCCTTAACCATCTGGGTAGAGCCATGCTCTCTCTCTCTGGCCCAATGCATGTTGAATTCTTTTATTTAAAGTGCAATAGTTACAAGAGGATAAATGGAGGTTTCAGTCCCCCTAGGTTCATCTAAATTTCCCACTTTTTGCATGAGCCTGAATTGTGCACGAGGGGAGCAGCAGCATTCATCCCCCATTCCCCAACACATTTAAAAAAAAAAAAAAAGTACCTGCCCCTTCACTTGTAAAGGAACGCTTTGAAAACATCTGCTAGGAGATAGGCAGAAGTCCAAGGGTATATCTGGATGTAGTATACCAGTAACTCTGCTCATGCAGTGCCTGGAATAATTAACAGAGGTCTAAAAAACAAAGCTACTTACCTCAGGTGTAACGCTGCATGGACATGGCTATACTGCTTTTAGTCTGGGAGCTAGCATGCAAAGGAAACTCAGTTATCCCTACACAATGGTTGGCACCATGTAGCTGTACCCTTGGGAAGCTTGCAGATGTTTTAAAAAGAACCCCAAAACCATGCTTTCCCAGAAACAGCACCACATTACTTCCACCCAGCTCTGCAGCTTCTGTATAGCTTGGGCACTTCAGCAGGGCTTTTTGGTACTTTCATCTAAAGCCAAGTCAATCAGCTAGTAGATAAGAGTGCCCAAAAAGCCCCACTGAAGCACCTGATCTATACAGATGTTGGGTGAGCCAGGTCCAATTAATGTGCTGCCTCTTTTGGACATGTGCTGGGCTTGGTGCAGGAGCCCATTGCATTTAAAGTAAGGTGCAAGTAGCCCTGGTTTTTAGATCTCCCATATGCTCTGGTGAGGCAGGTGCTAAGCTACTCAGCCCTGTTAAGATAGAAGCACTTTGGGGTATGGTCAGTAACAGAACTTGAGAGGTGAAGGACTTCAGTGTTCAACTTACAGGGCAGGTGCTTGTAGGACTAGGCAGTAGCTGAGTGTGGTTTACAGAATTGCACTTTTGGTGGAAATCACATTATTTACTCAAATCCAAAAACAACTCTGAATTGAAGATGACCCCTGCAATAATCTGATTCTATACATGGTAGAGCAGTGAGTAAGGAGTCAGGCAGTAGAGAAAGCAGGTGCTGTGGGGGTGGTGGGAGCCTGTCCTCCCCCTATTTCAACCCCTGTGCTTGGCCCCTATTCCCACTTACTTCCCCAGCCCCTTCCCCTCACCTTTGCTCCAGCCCTGGCAGGCTCTGTCCTTGCTGCAGCCTGAGGCCTGGAGCATGGGGTGCGGGGAGGGTACTGGTGCCACAGGGCTGGGTCGGAGCCATGCTCCAAGCCACAGCAGGGGATGGTGGCAGGGGTGCAGAGGGGCAGCCCGGGTCAGAGCCAGACACGCAGCCCTCGCCTGCCCTGCTCGGTTCCAAGACCAGGGGCTGCCCCATGCAAGGGGAGGGCATCTCGTCTTGGACCTGCGGCAGTGGGGTCGGTGCCCGAGGGCTGCCCTGGCTTTGCCCCAGCGCTGCTTTCAGCCGGCTAGCAGCGCAGCACTGCCCTTGTGGTCCAGAAAGGCTGGAGGGGCAGCTGGCCGGGGCGATCAGCAGGGAGGGGCTGCAGGACAGCGGGTCAAGCGCTCCGGCCGGGGCGGGGCAGGGCCGGGCCCAGCGCCTCACGCCACCTCCTCTCGTCCCTGCAGGGCGCGGACGGCAGCTGCTTCCCCGGCCGCGACCGGCTGAGCTTCGCCTACATCAGCGTGGACCCGCAGCGGCGACACGTGCACGCGCTGTCCCACTGCGCCGGGGCCGCCTTGCCCGCCCGCTGACTGCGCGCGACGCCTGGCCCGGCCCGAATAAACCTCCTCTATTCTCCTCGCCTCCGTCTCCGTCTCCGTCTGTCCCTGGGGCCGGCCGCACCCGCACCGCCCGGGAGCCCGAGCCCGTCCCCGTCCAGTCCCCCCACC